CGCAGGCGTACACGGCGGCGGCGCCTCCCGGGCCGGGGCGGCTGTTGAAGGCTGGGGCCGCGGTGCTGATCGCCGGAGCCCTCCTGCTCCTGGCCGGGGCCATCGGCGCCTTCTACTTCTGGAAAGCCACGGAGCGGCAGGGGGGGGCCCGGGCGGCACACGGTTTGGTTTTTTTCAGCTGTTTTCATGTAAAGAGAGGCACAGGCTGGAAACTTTTCTTGCGAGGTCGATAAAGAGGTCTCTTTCTTTTTTCTTTATTTTCTCCATGCTTAAAAAAAACCCAACCCAAGCCAAACCTAAAAGCCACAGCTATAATCATTATCTTCACTTGCTGTTTGGATGGAGCCTTCTGGAAGCACATTTCTTAATGAACATGAAACCTACCTTTGAGAGCACAGACCCTACATTGATTTCGGCTTGCAACTCCTCAGCAAACTCAAACCCCAACAAGTCCCCAGGGATTCACATCCTGGGCAAACTCCAGCCCCCAGGACAAAAAAAGCATTGAAATGTGTAAATTCCTTTTTCACATCATCTGCATTCTTGGTCCAGCTTCTACCTGGACGCTCAAATATGTAATGCTATATTTAATCCATTCAGAGGCACCATTATCTCACTCTGGTGGTTTGCAGGATTGTGCATACATGTAGGCATTTATGGTTTGCAGCCATGGAACAATTTTTAAAGCCATGTAACATCTATTATTTACATTTTCTGGGGTACATGAAGAATCACATATGCAAAGAACAAAATGGAGAAGCTGCTGATCAGTTTAAGAATCAAAATTCAAAGCATTTGAAAATGTCTTTCTGTTTACATAAGATTTGGGTTTAAAACTTAGTTTGAAACTTGATGGTGCCCATTTGAACGCAACTTGCTCCATAAGTGCAATTAGGATCTCTGAATTTACTTTGGAAGAAGTTTTGTACAGCCTCCAGCCCCGTGCCAGTCCCCATCAAGGAGAGCCTTGTGCAAATCCCAGCAGCCAGAGCAGAGGTCCCCCTGCGAGATGCACCCCTGCACATAGGGATAATTCAGATAATTCAGTTTTGCACCAAAAAGACAGGACATGCTGCTGACCTCCAGGACGTGCTGTGAGAGCCATCCACTGCTCTAAGGTTTTTGAAAAGGAAGACAGACCCAAAAAGTGCATAGGCAGGGAGGGGGAATGGTGCATACAGACCCCCTGACCAAGTAGGTGCATTTGCAGAGTACAGGACAAAGTTTCCCCTTTTTTGTTGCTCTCATCATCTAAATTCTGCTTTGCAAAAGGCACGTTCAGGGTTGTCATTACACTTCCAAGTTGAGCTCCAGGTGAAGAAACTGTGAAAGCTTTGAGTTATTTTCCTCAGAAAGCTACACTTGACCTGCAAAGGTTGAGAAAGCAATTGTAAAAATTATATTTAGGGTCATTCATTTAAAAAATATTATTTTTATTTTAAATCTTTAAATTCTCCCATAACTGACAGGGGCCAGGGTCTCAACTCTATCTCAGCCCCCAGCAGGGAGGAACACGTACACTGGTCTCATTTTCTGGACCACGTTCAACAGGAGTCCTAGACAGCAGAGAATATGGGGCTGTGTAACTGAGGAACCATAAATCTTTCACACCTCAAACTTTCCTGAGCGAAGGCGAGAGAAGAAGAAATTTGTCTCTAGCTGTCAGTGTAAATTTTTCATTAAAATGCTGTAAGGCTTTTTTAAGACCAAAAGTAAACTGCTTGTGCAGCACTTTTAGCAGAACTGCACAAGAAAATCACAAAAAACCCTCCACAGATTGCGGTCCTCTAGCAAATACAAACCATGCTGCAGCTTTCCTCATTGAAAATAGGATAAGAGTAAATACGCTGACAAGGAAAATACAGGTCTATACAACTTCATATCCAATTTAAACAAAGTTCAGATCCATTACAAGCCCAGAAACATGTTCATATTCAAGAGGAACTTTTTCCTGTCTCTCAGCAGAACATCCTAAGAGATAAATAGGGGTCAGTCCCCTTTGGAGTAGGATGTTCACTCCTGCTCTCCTTTAGGAATCACGCCAGTGTAAGAAGTGAGTCCTAAAACATGACCTAGAAGAAGGTTTTGAAATTAGACTAAGCCTGGATGTGGACTCACTCCACATTGTTTTTGAAGTAAAACTGAGTACTCCCTGAAGGAAGGACCTCAGGAGGTCAGAGTGGGTTGCTCAGGGCTTTATCCAGTCAGGCCTTGAAAACCTCCAAGGATGGAGACTGCACGACCTCTCTGGGCACCCTGCCCCAGTGGTGAAGTGCTGCAGCCGTGTGGTGGTGGTTGGAGGTTATCAAAAGCCTACAGCAATAGAAGTTAGGAGCTGAATAGAGATATGACAGCCAGATTGACCCATTGCCTGAAGTAGGAGGAAGGAAATAAGCAATTACTGACATGTGCTACTGCTCTTTTATTGATTCTAGGTGTACAATGTTCACTATACTATGAGCATTAATGGAAAAGTACAAGATGGATCGATGGAAATAGATGCTGGAAACAACTTAGAGACATTCAAAACAGGCAGTGGAAGTGAAGAGGCTGTTGAAGTTCATGATTTTCAGATTGTAAGTACCACCATCCCTCTCTTTCATGTAACATGCTCTGGCGCTGGACTCTAAGGATACCCTGCCCTGCCCCAACTTCTCTGCCCCAGCGGGTCTCAGGTTCCAGCCCTCAACTACCCACAAGCATCCTCGCTCTCCCAGCTTCCTTTCACAGTGAGCCAGGCAGTTTCCTCCAAAACTAAGTTTAAGTGCCTTTTAGGGATAAGCCGTGCCAGGTCCCACTCTGGGAAGCAGCATGGATTAGGCTGCATCAGGTTTGGCTCCATGTAACACTTCGCATTTCCAAACCACTGAACAGAGCTACAATGTGCATGATTTCATACAATTTGAACTGGAAAAACCACCTCTCCCTCCCCAAAACACCACTGTTTCAGGAGCATAGGGTCAACACATTGACCCAAGCAGGTGCCAAGGAGAAACAACTTCACAGTGCTGGACCCAGGCAGCTTGGTCTGCCTTGAGATCAAGGATGGGAGCTGCTTGCCATGGCTTGGTCTGGGTTCATCCCCAGGGGAGAGGAAGGAGGCATCTGGCATAGCTTATGCATCCATGCACCAAACACACAGTGCTGGGGCTGACAGCAAATGCATATGGGTACCCCAGCAACCTGGCTGTGGCTGCTGAGCACAGTGCCTGGACCAACAGATGCCAAATCTCAGCAAAGCTCAGCAGCTCGGATAGGGCGGTTCACTGAGCTGTACCACCACTGAGCTACTAAAGGCACATCTATGTGATGCTGCAGAAACCTCTTTACAGGGCTCAGAACCTGCAATTAACCTTCTCAGGTGTGAAACAGTCTACTTAACTTCAGAGCTAAGTCCTCTCTAAGTCAAAGCAGCACCTAAAATAAAGGTGCTGCTGCCAGGAAGACTTGCTGAGGGCTCCCGGAGCAGCCACCTTCCCCTTGCTGAATCTGGAAAGGTGAAGAAATTCAGCTCCTTGGCTTCTCAACAAGTACAAATCCATGCCAGGAGACCCAGGACCCCGACTTTCCTGACAGCTGTGGTACAGCTCTGTTAACATCACCATAGCAACATTATTAGCAGCTGAGTTACAGCACCCACAATAAGCTCCTCTCATTTGCCTTCACTCTTCCACATCTGCACAAAAGCACCAGCCCACCAGAGAGATGCTGAATCCACGTTGCCTCCTTGGGCGCTGCTGGTAAAGTACAGAAATCAGCTCCCAGCACCAACCAGGGATCGGTGCCTGCTTTTTGTAACAGAGGAATAGGCTCAGCAAGAGCAACGGGACGCTGCCAGTTTTGAGCCAGGAAGGCACATAAGGGAGAATGAAGTGCATCTCTTCAATTTCTAGTGACCAGGCATTGACATCAGCAGCTTTGGGTTGACTGGCACTGCTTGAACAATTGCACGGTCAGTGAAGACTTGGATTTGGCAATATTAGAATACTTTTAGCACACTCAGTGCACCACAGTCTCATTCCCTTGTGCTCCCATCCCTGCATTGCCACCCCCTTTCTCACTGCTTTAGAATTGGTAATTTTGTTTTGATGGATGCCTGTCCAACCATACAGGACTGGCAGGCACACAGGACGAGACTCAGGTGCCTCAGTACTGCCCATCTCAAGACACATGAGATGCCTATGGTATCCACGATGCCCATGAGAAGGGTTGTGAGGACACCTACGGCCCCCTGGCCTGGCAGCTAGAAGCTAAGCAGAAAACCAGCATAAGTCAAATGGCATGAGATCTTTATATTTAGGCAGTCAAATGCAGCTCACACAACCCTATGTAAACCATGTGGATTTTGCAGTCTGTAATGAGGTATCTAAATTTGTAACAAAACAGAGAACTCTTTTGTGGGTACTCAAAACCAGAAAATACAGATAAGGTCACACTGCCCAAATGTTGGTGCCCAAGGTGCTGGCAGATACGACCCTGGACTTGCAGGAGTCTCCCAGCCCCCTGGAGCTGCTGGGACACCCTTCTCTTGCTGACAACTACACATCCGTGGTTCAGGCAACTGCATTTCACCCTCATTGGCCAGATGAAGGAAGTCCCACACACAGATTTCAGCACCCAATTTCCTGTCACAAGTTTCCCCTTGCTGTCACAGCCACTTTTGTCTATAAATTGGACCAAGCTGCCCCCATATTTCTGTAAGTCTGTGTCGTAAGGGTACTGCACCACCAGCTAACACAGTTTTGAGGCTGCCTACGTGAGGTGCCAAGTTACAGTTCAAATCGTGTCAACTAATTCCTTAACAGAGCTACTTCAAGTAGCCTACAGCTCGCATGGAGGCACTTATATAAAACACCCCCATCCTTCAGAAACCGAGTGAAAACTTCCAGAGCCATTTGACCAAAATTGTAAAGCTAACCTGACGAGGGAAGAGTGTTTTATTGCATCTGGTTTTAAATAAGATTTAACCTTCAGCAGAGCTCAAGTGCTTTCTTGGGGAGCTGGAGGGCTGCACACAACCCCCTGCCTTCTGCTTTTGCAGGGCATAACTGGAATCCGCTTTGCTGAAGGAGAAAAGTGTTACATCAAAGCTCAGCCAAAAGCTCACGTCCCCGAAGTTGACGCTATGACTAAAGCGAGCCTCTCATCTGAGCTGGTAAGGAGAAATATTTATTTTTTTTAACAAATCTTTGTACAGAGAGGGTCTTAAGGCAATACTTAAATGCCAATAAAAACAACATTTGAAAACCACTGTGGATAGCAGTCGGGTTGCTGAGGGTAGGATAGTCGAGGGTTCATTGACTGACTGCAAGGAGGCCCTGAAAGGTAAAAAAAAGCAAGACTGGTGTCAGAGGTGTCACTGAGTCCAGGGGCATCGCGAGAGGCTGCAGAGACCGGGCAGTGGGGGAAGCTTTAGACCAAAGTCTAGCAGATCCATAGGAAGGTCTCTCTATATCCAGTCAGGAAGGCAACAGTGATGTTACAAAGTCCACTGAAGTTGGTGGGATTTTCCCCATTATGGGGAAAAGATCTTGCCCACATTCCAGGCAGAGGCCTAGATCTTTCCCACTTTGCCTTATTTTAAAGGCAAGGTGGGCTTCTTGACTTCATTAGCAGGGCTGCCTAAAGTCAAGGTTTCAATTTTTCATCTTTTTGTAAGAATAATGTCACAGTCCTGAAGACATTATCCTAAACCAGTCAAAAAGCTATTTCTAATCTTCTGCCTAGCTACAGGAAACATCTTTTCTTGTCCTCTCTTCTGCGGATCTTCCCCAAAGATGCATCACCAACAACCGCTGCAATAAATCATACACACTGAGGCCAAAACAAGCACCTGATTTAGTGCTACCATTGGGATATTAGCCTTTCCCTGTCGATCAACTTTCCAGGTTAGATGTACAACAGGAATGGCAAAGCCGTATTTATTTTTCTAGAGTAAATCCCCTTCCTGATACGCATTAATTTAGAAGAAAATGTGTATATGTATGGTATGTGTATACCATTTTCTTGCAACACATATCATAACCAACACTGCCAATAAAAGCTGTTGATGGAAATAAGCTGTTACAGATACCCAAACTCTGCCTGCTCACAAGTCAGGATCATCTCAAACAGAAACAAAGGATATTTTTATTTCTGAAAACTAGATTCAGATATTTCTAATGCTGATAAAAGCTTAAATGGGAGAATATAAATAAAGAGCACTTCTCACTAGACAGATTGGATAGCAAACTTAAATGACTTGAGACCTACAAAAGAAATCAATAAACACATTAAAGGAACAGCAACTTGACAGAATAAATTGATCCAGTCAGTTATATAACAAGTTTTGATGACTTTTATGGAAGCAATTTAGAATTTTAACTTTGAAATCATACTGGTTTTCATGATTCGCAAGTTGGTTTTCTTTTAATATTTCACTGTTGCTATAAAATACTTACACATTTTATGTAAAATAATACTTTGAACTAACAACTTTAAAGAATCAATCACTGGCATTTTCCTACGTTACTTTGAAGATATGAACCAAAAACCTGCAGGGTACACTTCAAAAAGGCAGGCTCCTTTAACTCACACTTCAAGCTGTTGGTCAATTGAATTGCTTTTACCAAAGGAGACCTTTAATCAGACCGATCACGTTGACTTAAAACTGGGAGCTGGAGCAGTTCTCAAGCTATAATCCTCTCCAAAACTTTTGAACAATCTCGCTTCCCCCCCCCCATTGTAAATAGTTATCTCTTGGAAGTGCATCAACTGAGAATGGGGCATGATAAAAGATTAGAGTGTTGTTTTTAGCTGGCGTATTTCACTGCTGCTCTGCTCAAGGTGGTAAATCTTCACAGTTTCTATCACCTGAAAATCTGGTGCTTTAGCCATCTCTGACATCTAGTCCTTGTATGTAGGGGAAGAGCCTTCCAAGGGCAAGATCTTAGCCCCAGCAAAGCTGACAATAGTTCTGCCATTCATGTCAGTGGTGGCAACTTTTACTCGGGCTTTGGCTCAGCACAATCAGCTCACATTCATGAAATACGAGGATGCTTGGTATTAGCTGCAGCGGATGATTATACAGTTTGATGCTCAAGAATTAACAGCAAGCAGGCACACAACTGTTCACTGAGCTAGCAAAGGATTTATGCTCTTGACTTTGCAGGAAGATGAAATCATGCCTGTGAGATTTGACGAAAACTCCCTTATCTGGGTGGCTGCAGATGAGCCTATCAAGCATAACAGCTTCCTAAGCCCCAAAATTTTAGAGCTTTGTGGGGATCTTCCAATTTTCTGGCTGCGACCAACATATCCCAAAGGTAACACTTCTTGTATTTGAAAAGTATGTTATCCCTCCATTCGTCTAAACACCTTCCCCAAATCAGGTCTGTCACAGACACTTGCACATTTGGGAAACCACACTTACCTAGGCATTTGGTCTTCCATGCCTGTATTTCCTCAATTTATACAGCCCACATGGGTGACTTACTACAAGATGAAGCACTGCTAGAGGCCAGCCTCCTTCTACAGAAGAACAAGTTAATAGCTTAAACTAGCCCCAAAATGTTTAGGCACCTGACAGCAGGTAGCAGGAACACCATACCTGTCCAAGAGTTAGGGAACCAGCAAGCTCCTGATCTGGGACCACAGCCTGTCCTATTTCCCACTCTACTTCTACAGAGGATTTCACTGGAGTGGAGGGACAAGATCCTTTAGCCAGGTAACTGTCAGGTTAAGTTTATGAGGTCCTGGGGGCAGTCTCAGGACTGAAGTACTCACATCACCCACAGCCAAGCTTAGCAAAGGTGTTCAGGAGTCACCAGGGAGATGGCAACTTCTCCAGGTAACTTCCAGCTCTGGGAGGAGAAAAGGCTTTCAAAGATTTACTTCTCCTTGGCCCAGTTAATACCAGAACACTCAAAGAAGGAAAAAAAAAGTAATTTTAGAGCATCTGTGGATCCAACCTGCCAATATTTTCCACTTTTCTCAAGAGTTTTCATATCCTACTGGGCAAAAGAGCAGTATCAAAGCTGCCCAGAAGCTGTTTCCACCAGGCTCACCAGCTGGCCTCACTAGTGCTGGCAACTGCTGCCGAGTTAACATCAGTGAACATTTTGCCTCAAGGGGAAGAAGAGAGGAAAAAAAGAGGCCGTCTCACACCCCTTTGGAGCAACATTGGCTGCAGATACAACACAGGAAGGCAGGCAGCTCCCATGGGGATGCTCATCAAGTTTGTCACCACACAGTTTCATCTTTAGTTCTGTCCTCACCCCTTTTTAATATTTAAAACCAATCACCGAAACCTTAGATAATGTGTGGATAAATACGAGGGCACACTGAAGATGGTGTTATCTTCCTGTGATTATTTCTTCAGATAACCAAAGGAGAGAAATGAAGAGAAACAAACGCCAATCAGAATCCAACTTTGATACAGAAGACTTGGAAGCTGCTGCTGAAGAAGTAAACACCAGGTCACCCACCCCTCAGCTGACTCAAGAGCTTGGTGGCCAACTGAATGAAACCAGGCCAATGGGACAAGAAGCCGATCAAACACTTAATCCAGACAACCCCTATAATGTAAGTATGTGCACTGTGATCTTTCAGAGCCTGAGACTCTTGTAGACAGGTAATACTGGTGATGTGGGGTTTGGTTTTTGTTTTGCTTGGTGGTTTTGTTTGTTTTAAATTTGCACAGTCTTTGCCTGTTTAGCTTTTCTCCAAAATTACAGATTTGTAAAAAAATTTAAGAAAAGTCTTCCCTCATCCTCTTCTCCCTCCCTCTCCTCAGTTTTCATTAGACTTCAGTCTGAAACAAGCACAAGTGCTTGAGGTGCCAAGCTGATGCGAAGTTGCTTTTCAGGGTTCAGGTCCATATAGAAGCAGCACCAGAGAGATCCAACAAGGACAGCACCACCTGAAAACAAAGCAAACCAGCTCTTGATCAGACAGCTGATCCCCATCATTTACTGACAATGTAAAAAGAAAGTCCAGTAGCTAGAAACATACTTTGCACTCAAATAGAAATTAGTATCTGCTACAGAGGAAAGCAATAGCAGTGTCTGGTTGCAAAGAGATTAGGCTTAGGCCAAATAAATCTCTTTTCTCAGCCTCTTCTCTATCAGAGTAAATTGCCCTAGTCTAGCAAGCAATTCACAGAGGAGGACCTGTTTAGAGACAGCAACAGCAGGTGAAGGATGAGCATCGCAAAATTTGTTCTCACTCTCCGAGATGAAACAGCCCACAGAAAGAGCACAGGAGCCACCCCGCTGTGTCCCAACACCTTTGCCACGCTGCAGGAAAACTGACTGTACAGCAGGCACCTTCCAGTCTACTGCACCAGCGCCAGACAATTTATACCCACCATTTGGTGCAGATTAATACAACACTGTCACAAGATAAATGCCTCCTGCTCTGGAAGTAAGTCCCAGCTTTGACTTGACATTTATGCAACAGCAGGAGATCATTACACTGTGACAGCATTCTGCCCAGTTGACATCCTTTAATTAAACTTAATCACTCTGAATAAAGTGGATCTAAATTGACTCTCTCACAGGGTCAGTAAAACAGCGGCAGTTCTGGAATCTAACTTCTCCTTACAGCTACTAGCACCACCATGTCCACAGGGTCCGAGCTGCTCTGTCGGGCAGCGGCAGAACAGCAGCCGCAGGTCCCTTCTTCCAGTCAGAGGGCCCCTGGGCCACACGGAGAATGTCCCATCAGATACAGTCACCAGACTTCCCCAGCCTGCAGGGCGGGATTCACCTTCACTAACAGACACTGCGTAGATGCCAACATCCGAGCTTGCTTTAGGGACAGACTCATTCAATTCAAAAGCAGCACCAATTACAGTGCAGGTCTTTCCTGCAGGATTAAATGAATCCTCCCTACAACTGTTTCTCTTCACCCTGGGTCTGGACGATGAGCTCAGGTGTAGAAGGTCACACTGCAGGCATATGAATCCAAGGAAGAGGAATCGTGCCCAAAGAAACCACAAAGTTGGAAATGGGTTACTGGGGGTCCAAACACCACTAAGACATCACTAGTATCTTGTACAAGCCCAGACAAGAGATGGCACTGTTCTGCGCCTCACCTTTTTAGTATGCTGCTGGTTTTCTGAATGAAAAATGCCCAGGTAAAAGGCTAAGCGTTACTCTGGCATTTGCTCTTTGCGGCTGCTTTTCTTGAAATAACACCAATTGGAAAAGAACAAATTAACTTCAAAAGGCAGAATATCCAGGCTATTTTTCTCCTTAGAAAGGAGGAATTTTGAAGGGTGAAGGCAGTAGTAAGCGCCTGCTTTTACATTTTAGGCATGCCTTGCTCCATGTAACTTTTCACTGTCAGATACAGACCAGGCATAATTCTCACTGTCCACAATGCACCTAAGTGTGGCAGAGGGGGACAGGAAGCAGAATAAAAGATAAGGTAGAATATTCAAAAATCTGCAAGGTGATAGCTTACTGAATGGTTTCCTGGGAAATCTATAAAAAGCATTAAAATACAAAAATTAAAACATTAAACACATTAAAAACACATTTAACATTAAAAACACAGCATACACTTCAGACACTGTAATCTACATAAAAGACCCCGAAAAGATTTCAAGAGTTATCTATCACTTCATAAAACTTGGGCTTTTACTGCTGCTGGATCTTTTGCAAGGACTGCAGAAGAAAAATAATGAAGTTAGAGCTCCCTGTTGCTTTCTTCCATTTTACACGGGTGATTGCATTAATTCCACACTTCTACCAAACAGAGCAAAACTAAAGAAAAAAAATTAAAGGAAGACGCATGGATCAGTCAGTGGGAGTTCTGTTAACTTCAACAGGACCAAGACTTCAGTTTTTATCCTTTGAAGGGGTAAGAGGAGCATCGGTATATTCTACATTCTCTGAGAACGAGGGCACCAGGATGACATTTAATATTTTACATTTCAGCAGCTGGAAGGTGAAGGGATGGCTTTTGACCCCATGCTGGATCACCTCGGTGTGTGCTGCATCGAGTGCAGGCGAAGCTACACTCAGTGCCAGAGAATCTGCGAGCCCCTCATGGGCTACCACCCATGGCCTTACAACTACCAGGGCTGTCGCACCGCCTGCAGAATCATCATGCCCTGCAGCTGGTGGGTCGCTCGCATCATGGGTGTTGTGTGAGAAAAAGTAATCAGAGCCTTGACAAAATAAGCAGGAACACAATGACAACAAAGTGGTAAAAAGGTGACAACCAAAGCAGTAGTACCAATTGTGGCCTTTAAATCAAAGTGAGAGTTACTGCACCAAAAGCAAGGTCAGATATTCTAACTGTAAATAAAAACCTTAAGTTAATATTCCATTAGCTTTATAAATGACAAGGGTATACTAGCACTTACTGAATTCAAAAACTAAGACATCCTCCCCAAAAAAGACAATATTAAACTTTGCTCACAAACTGGTTTAGCAGTCCAGAAGCTTGCTCATAAATCCAAATGCAGCCTTTCATAACAAAACCCTCTCTCTGAGCTAGATGTGAAAATTTACGTCCAATTAGGCAACTAGCTCAACTTGTACACTTGGGAGTACCTTTCATCCATGTTGCTTACTTAAATAAATCACAAGTTAAGTTGCTCCCCGTTGCTACTCATACTGAGCTGCCAGGTCATTATGAATGGTTATAAACCAATTACAGCATACCTTTCCCACAAAGCTGCTCCGGGGGACACGGGAAAGCACACATTGTGCTAAATCGGAAACAAACAGCAGGAAAAGGGGCTGTGGAAGGAAATCTAAACCCTTCGCACATCCCAACATCAAAGATGCCTCAGCATCAAGAATCCTGTATCCATGATACCATTGCAGTGTCTAACAAGTATCTGCTGTCCAGCTACTACAGCTGAAGTATTTACATGCAGTTGCAGACCAAAGAGTCTCAAGACCCTTCAGAATCCACAACAGCAACTGTATTTATAAATCCTCGAACTAGACACTTCTGACACAAGACTACAACTCCTCTTTATTCCACGTGGACAGCAGCCATTCATACTGGCTCCTTCAGGCTCGCTGAAGCTATCCCTCCCTTCCCTGCAAGAGAAGCTGCTTACCAGTAAGGAGGAAAAAATAAAAAATAATTTTTAAAAACCCTGTTTCTAACCTCTCCTTTGATGCTTAGGCAAACTCTGCAATTATTGGGATTGATCCTATTACATATTAAATCTCTAAGGAAGGTACTAAGCTGAAACACAAAAATGTAATGACTTAGGATTTCCAGCCTTGAAAAACAAAGATAGCGGTATTACACTACCTTCATCCATACTATGTGTCTTGAACCCTACCTTTGAGTTTATAGAGCCGTCTGCATGGGTGTTATAAACAGAAAGGCCCATTTTTTCTTGAAGTTCACTTTCTGGAGCATTCATTTTAGTGACTAAACAGCTCTTGAGATGTTGCAACCCTAGTAATGTTATTAACACTGCATGACACACAGAAAAGAGGAATTAATTTGACATAATCGTGGCTTAAAGAAAATAAAGACAACCTCATGTGGAATGCTAAACTGCATATCTAAAAAGCAAAGTGTTAAATGAGAATAAGATGAGAATAGAATTCAGTATTTTGTGCTATTGTAGCTTTTTTAATATAAACTTCACCTTCCCTTAATCTGGAGAACAGACTCGCTTTGAAATATTTAAATTAAAAAACTTCTTTAAGTGGGATTTGAAGGCCTGTTAAATTTGAGTTTCTGCTTTATTAAATGAAAATGACCTTGATCATTATGCTGTTTTAGAAGTACGTCATTCATATGCTTAGAAAAGTCGTTTTTCCCCTTTTTATTTTCTACTGCAGATTAAACAAATACACTAAAGAACGGCAATTGCTTTCTGTGCTTTTTTTTCAATGTAGAAAGTGTAACAATATCTTTAAGTAAATGTTCAAGAACTGTCTGGAGAGGAAAACAAGGGGATCAGCAAGAGAAACACTGAAGGCAAAGAGGGAAATATGACTGTATATAGGAACCAGGCTGTTGCTGTCTTTTGCATCTAAGGCCATCTTGAGGCAACTCGTGACCTGCTTCTCCCTGTGCCCCCAGGAAAAAAAAAACAAACCCAAAATCTTCTTCAAGAAGATGCTAATAACAATCTTAAACACAATTAACTGCTCCTAAACACAAGTTTGTTTTCTATAGGCAGTCACAAAGCACATAAGATGTAACAAGCATCCTACTCACGGATGCGTTGAACTGTCACACAGCACGTACGCTTGGAGAACTTCTGTATGCACCGTGCCAAGAAAGCCCCAGTGATCACAAGAGAAGCAGATACACAAATCGCACAGCCTGCGACTAGTAAAACTGCCAGAATTATAATATTGCCTAAGTACACCACAGAGGGCACAATTTATCCATTTCCAAAAGATGCACAATAAAACGCCTTCCCCAGCTCATGCTCCAAGAAAATTTTTATTTACCTATATATCATATTTAGTGAAAAAAAAGAGTAAAGATCTCTTGCTGTGGCAATGTTGAAAAATCTCATTTAAGCACAACATCTAATTTTGAAGGAAACATTCTGAGGCGACGTAGGAATGACAATAAAATCAATGATCCATCAGCATGAAAAGACGCAGCGATATCTGTGGCTCAGACCGCAGTTCCAACTATCCACAGTGATCTTACTCACTACTGGACAGCATTTACTTCCAATGCTGAAGTCATTTTCCACTCCCACCACAGGGGTAATACCTTGCACACTCAAGAGGTTACAACACGGCTGCATTTGGGGTGGTGGGGAGGGAGGGTGTTCCTTGAATCTGACTCTGCACCAGCAGAAACCAGTTCAAAAGCTTCTTTTGACCAAAGTTTAGAGAAGGAGGAAAGAAAGTAGGATGTGCTTGTCACCAACAGTGTTTCTCACAAGTGGGTGGATGTTAGTCAGAGCACTGTAATTCTACCATCCTTAAAACTTAATTATCATCCTCCACTTGTATCTACATTGATAAAGGAAGAAGCTGGAGTGCATGGAAAGGGAGGATCTGTCTTCTGCCTCCCATGTAACACTTAACCCCTGCTGCAGCAGGCATAGATTGTAAGAAAGTTTGAGGGAAGAACAGACTCACCGCTTGTTCCATGTAGTGCAAAAAAACAACCCCAAAAATGCAGAGAGGCAGAAAACTCCAATTGGCAAAGAATGGACGGTTGAGTGGCACGTTGGGGTGGACACAACCTCTGTTCAGAAAGGGCAAGAGGCAGACTGAACCAGTAGCACCACCTGCTTCCAAGAGACTCAACTGATCTTTTACAAGCGCTGCACGTATAGCAAAGATGAGGGAGGCAGCCTTAAATTACGGACAGGCATTTTCTATGACCCTCAGAAAGTGGCAGAGAGTAATCCCAGCTGCAGTATTACATGGGAAAGCCACCGTTACCTCTTGCTGTCCTCCCATATTTGCAACAGGACTACAAATCAGAGCACTGAGGTGAAACTGCCTGCTTGGGTCTGCTAGACTGTATGATCTCTAGATGACCAAAGGGATTGGAAAATCCTCAAGAAAAGTTTAAATACAATTAAAACATCATCCACTCTGTCCTTGCAAGCAGTTCTCCATTTCCAGTCAACTCATTGCCAGTCCTGCAGCAAATTCTGCTCATCCTCTCCGGTCTCAAAGGAAATTCCCTTTGTCACCGATATCCTCTACTCAACCCCAAAGCACCCTGCTGTCTTTCCCTTGATCTAGGGCTTCTGGATCCATTTTGTGTGTGTTTTGTCAAGAACAAAACATACACTGTTCATTAAGTTCATGAAGCAGCTTCCCCCCAACTTGACAAAGAAGCTTTACGTATTGCTTTAATCCAGTCCCCACCCACAGCAAAATAACCCCAATACTCCCATAAGGCAAAAAGAGCTGCAATTATTGGTTCACCTAGATTTTAGGGCAGAATATATACACACAGATTATCCGCCTGTGTTCAGAAATACGCTGGAATTATGTTTAGACCCACAAGCTTTGCTCACAGGATCGAGATGGACAAGAAGGTCTAGCACTTGATTGCTACAAGTTTTAGCCTGAAGCTAAAGCATTATATTTGCATTACATATGCCTCAAGAGTACACAAGTAGCAATGCATTTTATTTTACTTTTTGCCTTAAGCTAAGTGAATTGAATCCCAAAGCATTGAAACAGTATCCACTTAATACAAGAATATATCGTGCTTATCTGATGAAATATTCCCATGGACTTTCTGTAAGTGAAAGTAGACAGAGGAACTCCTACTATGTTCTCTTCTGTAAGTAAGAACAACTTGACTGGCAGAAAACATCCTCAAATTACTTTTTCATTTCTAGTTAAGAGATTTTTATCTAGGCTTTTCCCATAACAGCACTTAACAAAGACTTGCTAAGTGCTCTGAATGACATTTATAAAGCAAGGCTGGCCAGGAGACAAGAACCCAATTTTGTGACAAAGTGAAGCGCTCAGACATTTGTCTTCCTTCTACATTAGAAAGGAAGAAATGCCTTTCAGAGCATAAATAAAAAGTAGCAAAGCACTTATCTAGGAGACTTGAGCTTAAGTCTCTGCTCCAAACCAAGCCAATTTCTATGCTAGCATCTCATATAGATGGCAAGTGCTCTAGATATTGAATAACCAGCTACTCAGAATTCTCTGAAGGGCAAGAAATTCCCCACTGAAACTAACAAATCTTCACTGAAACATGCCACAAGTATACCCTTTGCAAAACCCTTCCAAGAAGCAAACATAGCTTAGTAAGACTCAAGTAGTAAGGCACACACAGAAATCTTCATAAATTTATCTTCTTTCATTGTATGAAAAGACCAGGATAACATTCAGTTC